TGTGAAGGGTAAAGTGCAACACAAAGATAAGAGAACAAGCAATGGTCTCAAGAAAAAGCATAAGATTATGCCTTCCCAGGCTCAACAAGGTAGAAAGAAGCTTTGTTTTGAGGAGTTGAGGATAATATTGAGCCAGAAGTACTCTGCCTTTCATGGAGTTTTCCCTCAGGACGAGAAGGAGGCGGCGATTTTACTCATGGCTTTATCTTATGGTCTTGTCTGTGGCTGAAATTCTCGAGCACCTCAGAATTAATTTTTCTAAATTACTTTAATTGTAAGCTAAATGAAGTATGAAATCTTCAATAAAGATATGTGAGAAAAGTGTTTTGTAGTAAATTAGATTGTACAACCTTAACCATTAATGGACGAGAGTTCCAAGTATGGGCCATCTTTTTCTCAATCAGTGATCATTATTTTTGTGGTCGTATATATTAAAAAAAAATACAAACTCAAGATATAAATATAGAGAATCGCATGGAGTATCTTAGAGTGCTTAATGCTTTGATAAGGTGGATTCGAACAGGGTTGATAACCAAATTATGGTCTTTTTTTGTTCATCTTCATCCTTATTATATGTACTTAATCACTAATCAAAATTTTTAAGTTTCTGTTGCTTTTCATGAATCCCTTGCCCTAGTTGAGTAGTGCAATTTTTTTTGGCTTTAATTTTTTAATATTGGGAAGGGCGATTTAAAAAACATTAATTGCACTTTGATGGGAATACGTATAATATATTCAATAATTTTTTTTTTAGGTATTAATCTTAAACTTTAAACCTAACAAAAAATATAATACTTATTTACTAATGAATCTAACTCTCAAAACCTGTTTAGTTGGAAGTTAATTTATATTTCTTGGGACTAGGAATAACTAAACCTTAATATCTAATTTTTCTTTTATATTAATAAATAATCCAAAAAAGTACCTAATCCTTAAAAACTAAGGAATATGCATATTCATTATTCATCTCTTAATTTAATAAAAAAAATAATTAAAATTTAATATTTAGATATTTATAACTTCCTAAAAAATTTTAATTTAATTTATTTTTATAATTTAACCAAAAAAATCATTATCACTAACCAAGTATTACTTTCTCTTTGAACAAATATAATTTAGCAGTAAAGAGTGAAGAATTATAATATAATAGTGTTATATTTTAAATCTTAATTATTATCAAAATATTAGATACATCTATCAAGTGTTCATGAGAGCTTTTGCCACTAACCAAATATTCCCTGGGGTTGAAGATTTTTTTAACAGAGAGGAAAGGAAGACAACAACACAATGGTATAACGTTTTTGGAGGATTAGCATTTAGCAATGATGATGGCGATGATTCAAAACGGTGAGTTACAGCTTTTTTGTGATGTAAGAGCCCCTTTGAAGATAGTAATACTTTTGTCTCGGATATTGTCTGAATAATCTAGCTCGGTCTGGAGCAAGATCCAGTCGTGTTCGTACTTGAATAACAGGGCTATGGCCATAAAACTTTTTTTAAAAAATTGTTAACCAAAAAAAAAAAAAAAAACAATTGGATATTTTACTGGAAAAATTACTGGCCCCTGGAAAGTTAGCCTCTAGCTTATAATTTCAAACTATGTTCTAATTTTTTTGGGTTTTCTTATCACGTACTCTTAAAAGTATATTTATTACATTTTTTATAATTAATTTGTATAAAAATATAATTATTAATTTTAAATTAATTAATTAATCAATTAAAACTATCAACATAATAATAATATTAAAATACTTCTTTCATTCATTTTTAGTAAACTTAATTTGACTTTAATTTTGACTTTTAAAATATGAATTTTATATAAAAATTTAACGATTTATATGAATAACAATTGAAATTTTTTTTATTAGATAAAAATATTTAACAAGAACTATATATATTGACAAAAAAAAGTTCAATTATTGTTCACATATATTGTTAAATTTTCATCCAAACTTCATGTTTTAAAAATAAAAAAGTCATTAAATCTAATAAGAATGAATGAAAAGAATAAATGTTAACTTTTTTAATTAATTTTTCATGCAAATTAATTGTTTTTTTTTTAACGGTAAATTGTATTTATTTATAGATATTGGAGTACAAAGGTTACTCCTAACCCGTAAACAAGTTATATCATATATATTATGCTGCATACAAATTTGATTCCTTTTGAAACGTAGCCTTTTCATACTTTCTTTGGGCTCTAGTATCCAATCTGTGAGGGAAACATCCCAATTCTTGCATTTTGCTTTCACCCATTCCCATGAGCTGACTTGAATTTGATTGTAGACCCTTTCAATCTCCGGTTTCTTTCCATGGAGTACACAATTGTTTCTAGTCAGCCATAGGGCCCATGCATATGTGAACCACATAATCACCCAGCCTTCCCTTTCTCTATTTTCTGTGAATTGTCCCCATTGTTGAGAAAAATCCTCTCGACAGTTGCTTGCTCGTACCGAAGATATTCCCCACCATTTTAGACACTTTCCCCATATATTGTATGCTTTTTAACAGTGTAAAAACAAGTGGTTTGTAGTCTCCATGTCTTCTTCACACATAGCACATGTCGACATACTTTCGTTCCTTAAAACTCCTCTTTTGAATAGCTCAAATTTAGTTGGAATTCTGTTCTGCACCAGCTGCCATACCATAGTGCAAATCTTGTTAGGTACCAGTGGGTTCCAAATTTTTTTGTATGGTACCTCTTCGGATCGATGGGGCCTTGATGTCAGGAATTGGTATGCTGACTTTGTGGAATAGCCAGCCTTACTATCTAATTCCAAAGCCACTTGTCCTCGTTTCCTTGATTGGGTTGAATCAGTGTGATTGCATCCAATAATTCTTTTTCCATCACTTTTTCCCACTCCCTAAGTTCCCATTTCCACTTGATGTCATGCAAATTAATTGTAAAATAATATATTTATTACATTTTTAACTTGTACTTCAGAAATATCTGTTAGACAAACTCATTCTCTTTTACGAAATACCCTTTTTCTTTAAAATTTTTTTTATTATTGTTGATTTATTGTTTACGAAATGAAAAGTTGTCTAATTTCATTTGAAGCTATAATTAAGAGAGGATGCTGCCGAAATTTTCACTTCCCTAGCAATTCTTCGAATTTAGATTCTTATAATCTCAAAAGCTTGTAATCAAGTTGTACCATGTGATATTGGTGAAGTGTAAGGTGGTGAAGAAAATTTAGATGAAGATTTTAAAGTGGTGGTGGGTTGTTTTTGCGTTGCCACAATCTTTAAAGGAATTTTGCTTGCAGGTGGTTTAGGGGGTCGAAGGGAAGAAAGAGAGAGAGGCAGTAGTTCTTA